GTGAATTGCACTACACTTAGTTTAATTGTCATTAGGTAGTTGATTCATGCTTGAAATTGATGGTTTACACTTTTCATTGCACTTGTTAGCCACATATAGATTACATAGTATTATTTCCCCAATTAGTTGAAAGTGAGTGAGTTAGGGAATGTGCTTAGTGGTGAATCCTACACCCTAAGTCTCTTTCTAATCTCTTAAACTCTATTTCTTTATTGCAATCATTTAGTTTAAAATTAGTTTTAATCACAAACAAAACCCTTTTGGCAATCACATAAGCACTAAAGTAGAATTCAATTCTGGAAAACCTATAATTGTTTAGATCTCTTGGGACGATCCCTGCTCACTTCATACTCCATAGTATAAGTGTTTAGTGGTTTTATAAATTTTAAAATATGGTGCCCCCTTGACATTATTTCTAAACCTAAAGTGTTGTGCATTATTTTGTGCACACGCTCGGTCGCACCATTTAGCTCATGTGTGGACTTGAAAGACTTTGGTTGAATGCTCAATATTTTTGTTCTTAATTTTTAAAAAAAAAAAAAAAATTGGATAAACTATAAAAATTCAAAAAGATTTTTGATTTTAGATTGTAGATTTTTTTTTTTTTTTATCATTGACTGATTCAAAAAGTCCGATAAAAGTTTTTCTAAAAAAATTTCCATGTTCCTACCGGTTCCTGGTATCCCCTACCGATTCAAGGTGCCAAGAAGAAAGGTCATACCTTACTAGAGCTTGGCTACTAGTACCACAAGTTTGGTACCGGTTCGAAAGTGGTCCTCACTTTGCAAAGGCTCACTACCTAGTGGAAACCGGTTCCCAAATTGGCTACCGATTCCTGGCAGCGTAAAAAGGCATTAAGTAACCCATTTTTACTTTGTTAGGTATTGTTGCACACATACAGTCTCACTCTATATTGTGCACTCTCTTTCTCTACATAACTCCATATATATATCTTCATATATTGTTTTGTTCTTACATCTTTCTCATCATATATTGCAAGATTTGAAGATTGAACCTTGAGATTTGAAGTTTGAAGTTTGAAAGAGGAGTTTGGGTTTGAAACTTTCCTAGTGGATTGGTTAAGTTTGAGTAAAGATCGTTATTTATTGAAGCTTGAAGACCTTGGGTTTGATCTTGGGATCATATGTGCTTGTTGGATTGTTGATTGTTGGGGGTTTTGAAGATTCAAAATAAGCTTGTTCAAGAACAAGTATTGAAGCGCACTCCAAGTGTTCAACAAAATTACCGAGTGAACTCCAGGGCTTCAAACCAAAAAATTTCGAACACAAGATGCCTCCAGGATTGTCCAAAAAGGCCAAAGGAAAGGGTATTGCTACTCTTCCACCTCCCAAGAGAGCCCAAACGACGATTATCATTCGGGAACCACAAGAGGGTTCACATGCTTGGAATGAACCAAGTTCGCCTATGTGTTCTTCCTTACCTTCTACTGAGATACCACCTGGGTATCCTTCAATTTCTAACATTGGGATGGTTGAGTTTGTTCAAGAACACTTTTACAATGAACATGCATGGAAGGTATACACTAATGTGTATAAAGATGGTCCAATAAAATCCGAACGGAATGTGAACTTGAAGAAGCTCAAAGAAAATCCGGGAAAAAAGCTCGTTGAGTACATTGAAAAGCACAATTGGCTCTTCTTCACAAAGATGGATCATACATACAGTCCAACATGGTTTACTATTTTTACTCAAATATCCGAAAAGTTCATGATTCTGGATATTTTGAAGTATCATTATTTGGCAAGGACTATGTGATTGATGAAGAGGCAATTGGCAAAATTCTTAGTACACCCAAGAGATTTACTAGCACGGGCTATTATCTTCCACTTAACCATTCAGTACTAAAGTGGGAAAATATTTGCAATGCACTGTGTTTTCCAAACTCGCTAAGATACCACGATTATATACCATCTCGTTATCTCACGGATAAAGCGGCATTTCTGAATTTGTTTGCCATCTTCAATCTTGGTTTCTTCGGGAAGAAGAATGGTGTCTCCTCAGATCGAGCAGAGGTATTATATCTTTTATCTATTGATGCACAGGTACATTTTGCTACTTCTATCTATGGTTTGATAGTAGCACACTATAAGAACAATACTAAGAAAAAGTCGTCTTCATTCCCTATGATCATCATGGATTTGTATCGACAGTTTAAGATTCCACTTCCATCCCGAGCTCATCATATTGAGATTATGTCTGAGATTGATGTTAGGGCTTTTAACAAGTCTAAATCTGCCAGGGCTATAACTAGGAAAGCTAGCAGGCGTTCAGCTACTTCATTATCTCTTCCTAAGATTACTTAGATTTTTCCATTTAAACGGAATTTCACCACACAGAATGCTAATCTGCTCTACTCACTGATTCTTCAGAATCAGAAAGCCATGATGGATGTTGTTCTTAATCTACAGGCTGAAGATTAATTTCTTAGAGAGTAGATGACAGGTAGTACTTCTGAGGACGTCTACAGACCAACCTCTCCAGATCCGTCACTTGTTCCTGAGGATGATAGAGATGGGGAGGATGAGATAGATTAGGATGTCGAGGATGATGAGGATGGTAGTGGTAGTGACACTGGTGGTGGTGGTGGGGAGATTCCGACTACTACTATTCCGTTTGCCGGAGATGATGTTGATGCTTGATTCTATATTTATATCATACATGCATCACTTTTTGTTCAGTTTTTACATTGTCATGACTTGATATTTTGTGACTGCTGACATGTAATAAACTGATTACTGTTTTCTCTGTTTAATATTGTTTCTACTCTCAATGACTTGTTTACATTACTTTGTCAATTTGGTTCCAAAAGGGGGAGAACAAGATTATATTAAGGGGGAGAAAAATCTAAAATTTTTGGATAATTTATTCAGGGGGAGTTTCAAAATTGTTTTATTAAACTTTCACTGGTAGTTTTGTTTGATCTATGTGCAAAAATTTAGGTGAAATTTTGTCCAAGAACAAAAGCGAACAGAGATAAAAAATAAAAAAAAATAAAAATAAAAATTTCATGTTTTCTTAAACAGTTGTAATTTACTTTTCTACTTTGGATAGATTATGAATTATTTTAAGGGTTTTGTCACGAAATTACCAAAAGGGGAGATTATGAGATATATTTTTAATTGGCATATTTCGGTAACAAAATAAGTCCTAGTCGAGTTGTAATTTCAGTTACCATATCAGAATCGACATCGACTGCAAAATTTGAAGGTTGTTCAGAAGAGAAAAGTACTGTTGATCATCAAAAAGGATAGAACAACACATTAGGACATCATTTCCCACTTAAGACACAAATACCTATATGGTATATTTTCCAGAGTTTTCAAAAACAGAAAATCTAAGTTCAAATTGGATTCTGTCAAGTGGGAACCGGTACCTGAAGTTGGGAACAATTCCAGAAGCTGAAATTCGAGAGAACTCCATTCTATCCTTTAGGAACCAGTTCCATAAATCCTGACAACAACAGGTTTTCAGTTACCTTGTTCTATTTGATTCCTTTTTTATCTAACTTTCCTTTCAAGTCCTATGCACGAAATTTCCTTTATTTTTAGAAAGAATAGGAATTTGCAAACCTCTATATAAGCTATGTCATACACGTGGATTTATTCACGACTTTTGTACTATCAAGTTATCATTCTTAAAAGCCTTAGAAAGATTTTTGTTTTAGAAATTTTTAGAGAATTTTCTGTTTGTTTTTTAAGAACACATACACATAAACACATAGTGAGTTTAGAGTTATGGTATTCAAATCCTGATCGTGATCATACAATTGCATCTACATCGGTCAGACAAAAGCAAATCTACTTCTATATCGAATTCAGACAATTGAAGAACAGAAGTAAAAGCGATCACACTTTGAAATGGTTGGAGCATTCGAGGAGTGTTATCTAATCTACCTGCTACTCTTCTACAAATATCAAGCATAAACCTGAGGTCAAGTCGCTGTTGGATGGGAAGTCGCAAAGCCATAGGATTGTCAGCAATTGATATTTGGTAGAACGATAGGGTGTGAGCCAGAGTCAAAGTTCAGTGTACTTTGTTTCAAACATAGTGGATCAGTTTACTTTTGACTGCAAAATCCACGAGATTTTTTCTATACAAATAGTTGACGTATTTTATCAACTATGGTTTTCTCGCTAAAAATCCTGATGTTATCTCTAACTTTATACTTTGGTTTATTTTATCCACATGTGATTAATTGTTTAATTACTAAAATAAGTAAAGTTGGAAAAGATATATAGATTTGTTTTAAAATAATCCAAACTTCTAAAACATTCTGCTGCGTACCACTCAGAGAGATCTGCTAGGAAACTGTTAGAACTTAGAAGCCTCCTAAACATCCGGAGATCCATAAGCAACGTTGCTAAACAATGTTTAATGACTAATATGAATTTGCCGGGAAAGTTATGGCTTCGATCATAAAATACTAGGGAAGTAGCAGTGTCCCACTTCATCATGCCTCCTCTTTGTGAAATAACTTGACACGGAACTGATATCTGGCGGTTCAGGTCATTTTCAAGGTTTGAATTGGGAGAATCAAATGAAGTTAGCAATAATTTAGGAGGCAAATTTTATCCATTACTTTTTCTTTCTTTTTTTAAATTGTTATTAATCTTTTACACACATTATATATATTATATAATTATGTATATATGGACTTGGACTTGTTTGTTGTATGATTTGGCTCTGATCGGTTAGGAGAAATATATTCAAATAATCACAAGGAAGTTCGTATGTATAGATTTGTTTTTGCGTAGCGAAGCAGAACTATCTTCACACAAATTGGCTTTTGTGGGTTAGTTAATCTTCACACAAATTGGCATTTGTGGGTTACTTATTTGTTCGCTATAAATTAGTATCGGTCTCATCCCTTCAATTTAATTTAAAGATTACATTGTGAGGGAGCTATCTAAGTATTACATTGTGAGAGCTAATTTCTTGCTATTTTGAGTGATATTTTAAAGACAATATTTGTTTCTACAATGGGGCAAAAAATCAGGTTAGAATCAAGAAAGATGTGGAAGATAGCCGCCCCTGCCATCCTAACAGAATTAACTCAATTCACTATCGGATTGGTCACCGTTGCCTTTGTTGGCCATTTGGGAGAGGCCGAACTCGCAGCCGTTGCTATGGTACAAAATGTGCTTGAAAGCTTCGTCTATGGAATAATGGTACATATATATTGTTAATGATATATATATATATATATATATATATATATATATATATATATATATAAATTGTTGTATGCAATTTTAGAAGCACCCCAATCAAATGTTGCTTTAATACTATTATGAACAATAACCAAAATTTTAGTTTATCTTACTCTTCAACTTTGTTGTAATTTATTTTTATTAGCTCGGAATGGGAAGTGCCCTAGAGACGCTTTGCGGTCAAGCTGTTGGCGCCGGGCGAACAAACATACTGGGAATTTTATTGCAAAGATCATTGATTATCACAATGATCACAGCTTTGTTTCTAACCCCCATTTATGTGTTTACATCGCCCTTGTTACAACTACTTGGTCAAAACAAGCATATTTCCCAACTAGCTGGGAAGTATGCTGTCTGGGTGATTCCTCAATTGTTTGCTTATTCCATTAATTCTCCTGTACAAAAATTCCTGCAAGCACAAAGCAAAGTCTGGGTAATGACTATAATATCTCTAGTAGCACTGGGAATTCAGGTTTTTTTGAATTGGGTACTTGTGACAAAGTTTGGGCTCGGCATGATTGGTGCTGCTATAGCTGGAAATTTAACATGGTGGCTACTGGTTTTGGTTCAGATAGTTTATGTGGTCTCTGGATATTTCTCGGAAGCATGGACTGGGTTATCTTTGTCTGCATTCCAATCCTTAGCTGGCTTTGTGAAATTGTCACTTTCCTCGGCTGTGATGTTGTGGTTAGTTAGTTCTTGGATTTAAATTTGAAAATATATAATCCATTTATATATTTTGTTGTTTATCATAATCATGCGCTACGTATGCTCTCATGACAGCTTGGAACTTTGGTATTACACTATTGTGATCCTAATGGTAGGCTGGCTAAAGAATCCAGAAATTGCAGTGGATGCCATTTCAATTTGGTTAGTCATTAGCTTGTTCGCCATACAGATCGAGTCTTTAATTAATTTGTTTATTTATTATTATTATATTCTCTTTCATTTCTGGACATGGCAGCATGAACTTGCAACAATGGACCTTAATGATTGCTTTGGGTTTCAGTGCTGCAGTTAGGTATATAAGAGATTTTCCTCCATTCCCAAATTTATAGTTCAAAGTGATTTTTTTATTTTTTTTCCTTTGAGCGTATAGGGGAAATTTATGACATTGACACATAATTATACTTGAAAGTGTTACTATTTCACTTTACAAATTCCTAACTTTCTTGCAGTGTCCGAGTTTCCAATGAACTTGGAGCAGGACGGCCAATTGCAGCAAAATTCTCGGTTGCAGTGACTGCTGTCACATCTACTATTTTTGGAATATTTTTCATGGCTGTAGATCTTATAGCTAAGAGCTATATCCCCAAAATTTTCACAAAAAACCCCGAGGTCATAAGAGAGACATCAAAGCTAAGTTATTTTCTAGCAGCAACCATTCTCCTCAACAGTATCCAACCAGTTCTTCATGGTAACTCGATCGCTTGTAATAGTTTTTAAATTGTTGATAAATTGAAAGTATATAGAGTTGTGTTGCCATTTTTGTCTCAAATCTAAGCATTTCCCGTTGATATTGCAGGGGTTGGCATAGGTGCAGGTTGGCAGTTTTCAATTGCACTGATAAACACCGGGTGCTACTATATTTTTGGCCTTCCTTTAGGTGCCTTGCTTGGTTACAGATTCAAGCTTGGCATTCAAGGCATCTGGTCTGGAATGATTGCTGGTTGCCTGCTCCAAACAGTTATTTTATTGTCAATTGTGTTTCGAACTAACTGGCATAAAGAGGTTAGTATCTTCAGATTAATTGATAATCATAGTATGCAAATATAGGTTAGTAAACCTAGCATTGTGAATGTTTGGCTCCAAACATTGTTAACTAAATTAGTCTTTCAATGTTAACAGAATAATGAGTAATAAATCTATCTGCAGGCATTGCAAGCTTCGGAGCGTATCCAATCACATGCCCACACAGTACCTCTGCCTCAAAATGGAAACACAGAAAATTAAGATAAAGTTCGCCAGGAAAAAGAAGCTTGAGAAGAACATTGGATCCTGAACTTTATAACATTATATGTTTTCCCACTATTTTCAATTCGAAATTTGGGATTTACATGTATATTTTTGCACCAAGGGTTAGGAGGCGGCTGCTGGTTTAGTTCTCAGCATTTCGAATTCTAGTAGAAAGAAAGGTCTTAAAAGTGGTTACTCACTTCTTCCCAATGGTAGCAACATATAGGCCTTCGTTATCTCTTCGTCGAATTGCTTTTCGAAGATGAGGGGTTGACACGTGATAAGATACTTGGTAAGAGGAATCTGGCTGATATGTTAACCAAGATAGCAACTGTGGAGAATTTAAAGGAGAAATTGAAGTTATGCGTAGTTTCAGTCTGTCTTCTAGCTTGAAGATAGAGATGAGAACACCGACATACACTAATATGCACCTATAATTGTTGGAATGGATTTATTAGTGCTCCAGTCTCCAAGTGAGATTGTTGAGGTTGCGGAGCCTGAATCACTTATCTGGCATGCTATTTTGGAAAGTACAACTGGTTTCACGTACTTGTGTCACAACGGGAGTTCCAAAAAGTGCAACCAATCCACTTTTGCAGACGAGTCCAACTTTCTCCGTTGGTGGCACTTTTTGGGACTAATCACACTTGCATGACATATGGGAAAATTAGTTTTTTTTTTTTTTTTTTTTTTTTTTTTTTTTTTTTTTTTTTGCCCTTTTTCTCTTTCCAAAAGGCTTAGACATTTGGGGCAAGTTGTTTCTCTATATTTATTGAATTTTGTACCAACCCTATGGTATGCAAAAAAAAAAATGTTCGCACTTTATAGAGAGGGTCGCCACAAGAGAGAGATTCAAAGAAAGAGTGTTCTTCATTGCACTCTTCTAACTAATTCATAGTGAAATTTTTTGGTGCAATCCGTGGACGTAGGCAAAATGATTTTGCAGATCCACGAATACCTTTGGTTGATTGTGTATAATTGTTTTTCTTTTTAATTGCTTGTTTTTGCGACTTTTACCCCCAATCGACCCATATTCTTTTACATCTAAGATAGCTCTATGAGAAACTCCACGGTTCACGCTTGCTTGGAGAAATTACTATATAATTTCAGAACTATTAATTTCGATCAATCACTACCTGACCGGCAAGGAATATATATATATATATATATATATCTATAGATATATATATATATATATATATATGAGAAATGATAGGTCTTTCGACCTCAATTGTCGACTCCTCCTCCGAATACAACGTGGTTGGATCACGTTAGAACTCTTTAAAAAAAAAAAACATAAATAAAATAAAAATAAATAAAAATTCCCCGTAAATATCTCTTTCTGTTCAACCATATTGTATTTGGAGGATAAGTCGACACTTGAGGTCAGAAGACCTATTATTTTTCTATATATATATATATATATATATATATATGAATGTGAAACTTTCTTGACACACCCTCTCACATTCTCTTAGAATGTGATGAACCATCAATCAAAATAATTCCATTCACCCTTTTTTTTTTTTTTTTTTTTTTTTTTTTTTTTTTTTTTTTGGAATATAATCTACTGAACTTTACAATCAACCAGATAAGAGTCCAAGCCTATTGAACTTTCGCTAGCATATGCAAAGACCACAACTTGCAACAAAAAGTAAAATAAAAGAGAACCTTTCTTTTATGGTGGCACGATTATTTTCAGGGGAATAAAAAATTTTGATTATTGTTGATCAACTAACCAATTAAAATCAACCCAAATTAAATGAAGAAAAAACATTTAGATGTTGATTAGAACATATATTTGATTATGCAAAACCTTAAGTACTATTACCTTTGTCCAGTTTAGATGTCCAATTTTAGAACATATACGCTTTACCTACGTATGTAATGTCCTCTTTCAAGCTTCCACATACGTTGTGTCTTGAGTTGATGCAACATATTAGATCCTTCTGGTGGTGTAATAAAAAGAAATCTCGCTCCATTCATTGGATTCACTAGGATGCTCTTTGTCTGAGTATGAAGTGGGGTGGACTTGGGTTTCAGGATCTTGAGGCTTTTAATTTGGCGCTTTTAACGAAACATGCTTGGAATTTCCAAGTGCACCAGACGGGGCTGGTTTATCAGTTACTTAAGGCGAAATATTTTTTTTCATGTTCGTTCTTGGAAGCTCCGTTGGGCTACAATCCTTCCTAGGGATGGCGTAGTATATGGCCCACACAAGCTATTTTAGATCGAGGATTGCGGTGTGTTGACCTTAAGGATTTCATCCAATGACAATCCAGATGTTTTGATGATAACAAACCATTAATGGTGTTTAAGGACTAATGTTTACATTGAGTGTTATATAAATTATTCACATTCAAAGAATGACTTCAATGAAGCTATAAAGATCATTCCAAGTATTCCATTATTCAAGATCACATCAATGAAAGAAATGGATACAAAGAAGAGTTGAAGTTGCAAGGAGCCAAATGCAAAGTCCATTTAAAGATAGCTTGGACTACAATGAGGAAGCAAGCAACTCAAAGAAAGGAAGAAAGCAAGAGTACCTCAAAGCTTAAACAATCATGGACAAAGTATGAAGAAAGGGGTAGATAGGTTGGTGAGTGTTTAAGATTCATTGTCAAGGTATTTATGAATCTATTTGAAACTCATCTCTATAGGACCATGCATATCATACATCATTCATATGCTCATATATCCATTAGCAATAGACTATACACTTCATTCATATAATTGACACATGAAGTTTTTACTAAAAGAATGAGTTAGTTCAAGCTTGCATAAGCTTTGAAAGAACTCATCATTTGTGCTAGAAATGCTAAGACCATGCACATCAATCATAAAATTCATATTGGTCAACAATTAAGGCATGAAAAGCCTTCATTACCATGAGTTGGTAACAGACATTAGGACCCCAGAATGCACTTCATGAAAAACTGTGCTTTTTGACTAAGTGTGAAAAATGGATTTTTGAAATAATGATTATTTAAAAATAATTTTTCCCGATAATAACTCTTTATACTTAAACTAGCCTAAACTGATTTTATCAGAATTTTTGACCAAGTCTACATTGGTTTACATAAAGATTCATTTTTACCAAAACTGTCAAAAATCCAAATTTGTACTAAAACTGAATTTCTACATTTTGATTTAGTTGGATTTCAATTTTTTAATATTTTTTATTGAATCCAAATGGGAGGTACTTCCTTATTTACATTGTAAACTTAAAGTAAATTGACATATAAATACTGTAAAGACATTTACTTTAATGTTTTTAATGGAAATAAGCTGTGTGCAGAAGTCCTGTGTAGATACCTGTTGCAGATCACAAACAGTTTGAATTTCTGATATAATGCAACTCAACCGACTCAGTTAGCAATCCAGCCGACTGGATTAGGCTGAGGCTCATCATGTTCAATTCACAACTCAGCCGACTCAGTTTGGAATCCAGCTGACTCAGTTAGGCCGAGGCTCATCAAAATCAAAATTCAATTCAGCTGGCTCATTTAATAATCCAGTCGACTCAATTCATAATTGAGCCGACTCCCTTCTCAACCCAACCAACTTAGTTCACAACTAAGTCGACTAAGTCCTGAAGGAATAGCCAACGGCTACATTCCTTATGTGTCAAAGTTGCGCATCTTCTTCAATACTTCTGCAATCTTGCTCCAGGCTTTATACACATATTTCGAGCGTCGTAGAGTCAGATATTCATATGTCCATCAAGTATAATCCAAAATAACGGTCATATTGCATCTCATGAACTTCATAAATATGCATCAGTTTCAAAGATGAATTAACAGAGCTAAAGGAGCCATTTTCATAAATCCAAGAGAGCTTTTGCTCTACCATTCTACAGAGGTTTTGTTCTGGTATTACTCTTTGATAGAGCTCATGTTCTAAACAATCATTCAACTTCTTATATACAAACTTGCATAGCCAAAACCTAGAGAGAGAAGCTGCGAATTTATTGAGCATTTTTCAGACCATCATTCAGAGCTTTTGTTCTGAGATATTCACATTGATACAGAGCTGTTGTTCTATTCTTCATCCTCTCACATTCATCACACTTAGAGAGAGAGCTTCACTTGTATTCATTGATTCTCTAGAGTGAGTTAAAATCTGTAAATCATAGAGAATGAGATACTTGTAAACACTTCCACTACAACAATTATGGCTTTTACCAGCGCTCAAAAACGCTGGTAAAAGTCCCAAAAAATGCTAGTAATTCAATTACCAGCGTTTTACCAGCGCTTTTGAAAAAACACTGGTAAATCTGGCGTCGGTAGGGCTTTACCAGCGCTTTTTGAGAAGCATTGGTATAGACCCTTTACCAGCACTTTTTGAGAAGCGCTGGTATAAGGTCTTTATCAGCGCTTTTTTAAGAAGCGCTGGTAAAAGGTCATTTTATGTTTTTTTTTTTTTTTTTCGCCTCTTTGCCAGCGCTTCTTTAAGAAGCGCCGGTAAAGGCACATTTTTATTTTATTTTATTTTTTTTTTTATTTTTTGCCCTTTATTGTTTTTGAAAAATGTCTTGGTTACTAAATGTCATCCAATATAACACAAGTTGGCAATATAAAAGTACCATCCAAATTGTTTTTACATATTACAACCACAAGTTAACCTACTGCCAATATGAAAAATACCATCGAAATTGTTTACTAATAGATAAAGCTGGTAAATGTCAACCAAAACTCAAAAAATGTCTACTAATACAACCATAAGTTAACATGCCAATATGAAAATACCATCCAAATTGTCTAGATCTACTAAATGTGACAAAAAAAAGAATTAAGAATTTTTTACAAATGTAGTACAAGTTTTTCAAAAAGAACCCATCCAAGGTGAAAGAAATGCTGAAAGCATAACCACAACCCCATCTTCAGCTTCAACTACAACTTTAACAACTCTTCTTGCCCATTTGATTTGAATTACCAAACATTTTTTATAAATTCATTAAGCGCACATTATAATAAATGAAAATTTATATAAGAGAAATTAAAGATCATAACCTTAACTGAATTGGCATCATGACTAGAAAATGAATATATACAACACAAGAACATACACAAAACCTTTTACATACTAAATTATATATAAGACAATAATTTCTGAGTTCTACTAAACTGCTATAAGAAATACTAGCAACAAAGTCATGTTCGTTAGAACCTAAGAATAATCACTCATCTGAAGAGAATTTAGGAGATAAACAAGGTGTGTGTGTGTGTGTGAGAGAGAAAGAGATAGATTTTCTAATAGTAACAATATGAAACAAGATTTCCCTAAAAGAATGATAATGTGGTGAATCATAGCATTTACAATAATAATTCTCCAAATGATTAAAATTAGTTGTGGGAACTATAATTATTATTAATTTTGCAAATAATCTATAATAATTAGTGATTTGAAGAGACAATGCATGTTTTGTATTTTGTTTTTGTCTGGATCTATGCTATTTATCAACTATGGTGAGTCACTGGTTTCCTAAAAAAAAGGCAGAACTTGTTACTACAACCTAGATGATAGAACAGAAACCTTTTCTATAACTGATTCGTTAAAAATCTGATTTTCAAATTACTATAACAAAAATTTGTACTCTTATGAGGTTTAAGTAAAACTGTTAGGAGTAGTAAAACATATTTCTATTTAAAATGATGTAGTTCAGGCCGAAGTCAGAAAATGCATCTGTCTGGATTATCTAAGGCATTCTCCTTAAATGCATATAACGTATTGTACAAATTTATCAAATTTAGCCTAGACATGTTTGAGATGTAAAAAGACGGTACAATAAGATAGAAAGAAGTACCAAACTGGACACATCTTCCTCTGTCCCACTGTTATTTTCCACAGGATCTAATGGGAGTTCTCCACTATTCGATTCAATCTTCTTGATAAACTTTGTTGAGTACAATATCACCCCAAATCTCATAGGAAAACTATTCTCGTACAAAGAAATAATCGTGTCAATTGCCCGCAAAAGACAATGAAACTAAAATTAGATAAGTAATTCTGGCAACAGTATAATGCACATACAACGAACTGACGTCACTTTTTACACAATAAAACTTGCCTCAAGTCCATAAATGGATGCAGGATCCACAACAAAAACTGTATAGAACAAGTTCTTATGAATATAACGTAGTTGCCCAAGGAATACCGGCATCAAAATCTACAACACCAAAGTAAAAAGATAGAAACGCTTTTTTCAAAAGAATGCAAATTAGTGCATGAAGCCATCTAAAGTAAATAATAGAATTGAATACATCCATGTGAAAGATAAACACACCTCATTTATATTACTACGCCAACGATTGTACATTGCATCCACCTCCAAAACCACCATTGGTTATCAAAACACGAAAGCTCTACTATGAAGATTTATTCTACTCATAAGAGTTTAGTGTATCTAGGTTACTTAGTCAGATGCCAATCTATAAGATAGTTAAAATTTTAATTATAGGCTTCTATCTCTTTCGTGCATAAGAAAACCCGTGAACTATAAGGAGGTTGTGTGTAAGGTAGTCCCCAGAGCTCAGACAAAGGAGAAAGGCAACCTACAGGAAACCTTTCATTATTCTTATGTAAGTTGAACCTGGAAAGGAAAGAAAAATGACATTCCAATCCAGAGTAGTTAGGATCTGGTCTGTTGAGTTATAATTTTTAATATCTCAAAAGGCAAAAAAAATCCTTTTGCAGTGTTATCTACAAAACTGAAAACCCTACATCCATATGATTAGTAATATATAACACCAAGATCATTCGAAGAAAACCTGGTACCAGCTACACAAAAAGATGGGGCGATTCTCTTTGCTAGAATCTTCTGGTAACTTTCGCAGATGATGTTCTTACTAGAATGTTGTGAGGGTAGAACAATTGGAGCTTGTATAACACCCTAATATACAAGTAAAATATTAGTTTCTTTTTTTTAGTAAGGGTTCTATAATCCCATCTCTGAATTGTTTGTGTTTGTGTTTGGGCTATGAAGATAAAACCAAAGTATTCTGAGGAAAGTTACTAGCTCCTTAGGTTGTGATATCTGAGGTTGGCTGCTTAAGTATCTTGGTCTTCCTTTGAGAGTGAAGAGGGAAAAGTCTTTTGGGGTCCAGCAGCGGAAAAGGTGCCAAGTACTTAGAAGGGTGAAAGAAGGTATACATTTAACTGGGAATAAAATCACTATAGTCTAGATCTTTTACTAGCATATCCCTACCTACCTTAATTTATAATTACTCAACTCTTGCAGCCAAACTAGAAAGCCTTCAAAGAAAGGAGTATGAGAGCATACTAGGTGTTACAAAAAGAACAATACTTTCACTCAAGAAGCTCAAGTGTTGGGATTAATCAATCTTTGTGTTCTAGATGGTTTATCCTTTACAGAGCAGGTGATAAACTGCAGTCAGGATCTAAGAAGAAAAGTCTTCTCAATGCACAAATTTTGTTAGAACTTCATAATATCATATGCTGTCACTATATCTTACTTATCAAAAGAAAAATATTCTGTCACTGTATCCTATGTGCTAGTCACAATCGATTATCAGCATAATTAAAAATTAAAAAATAAATAATTTTTCATCACAGTTAAAAAAATTTGACCTTACACAAGTCACTTGTCTTTCTAATTTTCTTGAACTGGGATGAGATTTCTTAGAACATTTTGTTTGGAATCGAATTGCTCACATTTGGATTAGACTTAATACTTTTCATAGCCCACTAGCAAGGAGTATTAGGATTAAATCTGCTGCTTATAACCAAGTAAGATTTCATATTCTTATATTTAATTTTCCCATTGTGAGGTTGGGGTTGTATAAACCAAGCAATATGTATATAGAGAGACAGGGAGAGAGGGAGATACAAGATGAAGACATGGCGTATGATGATGAAACGACATTTTGTAGTTTCTTCAGAATTTATTTTCAGACAAGAAGATTCTCCTACTCGGAAAACAATAGCAATTATGGGTCACAAGTCACAATTATGTTTCACTAAAATGTGATACAAAATATTTAGATAGTAAAAAATTCAAATGTTTTCAGATAAAGGATTAGCAATTTAAGTAGTAATAAAAACAACTAAAGCATCAAAGCCACTGTAACGTGGTATCACAATTTGGGTAAAAGTAAAGTGACTTTTTCAGGAACAAACAAACCAGAATTTTAGAGAATATGAACCCTCTAACTTCTTGACTGAGTTCTTCAGTGTGAGGATCTTCAAGAGTGACACCTGCACCACATACATCATTTTCTTAAAGAAAATAATCTTAATGAAAAACCCAGGAGTACAAAATGGAAGTGCCTTACTTCTATGGCAATATAACAGTTCAGAAAACCCAAAAAAGTTGTATAACATTCCTTATCCATAAACCAAACTGAATAACAGAAAGCTAAAATAGAATTGCAGAAATAAAAAAAAAAAAAAAAAAAAAAAAAAAAGCACTCCGCCTTAAACATTGGTCATACAGAAAAAGGTATGCTAGTACTAACTCATTTTAACAGCAAGAATGCAAAAATTACCTGCAAAGCGTATGTAATAAACCAAGAAAAATAGAATATCTCATCTTTTAGACCCATCATGTACTGACCCTCTTTTATTTTCTGCTCCTGAAGCATTAGAATAAAAAATGAGCTTAGCCCAAAAGTTTATATAAGCAAGGACTACTCCAATTTTGATATTTCAGAGATGAGAAAGACATCAATGTATGCAAAAATGTACAAAAATAAAAGAGATTAGGAACATTATGAGTCCATGATTAGTAATGTATTAAACCCATTACCAAACCTTCTCGAACACAAAATAGCTTGTGCATAAAAAATAATGAATTTAATAAAATTAAAAATAAAATAAAAACTAGAGAGATTATTTGGTGATAGATACAACATGGGCAATAATGAATTTTAAAAATAAATGATACATACGGCAACCCCATGGGCAATTCTTCCATAATTAGAAATTTATATATATATATATATAGAAGTCTAAATCAAAATGTCCAATGAACATAATCATCAACATAACACCAAGATAGAGATTTTTTGACACAATTACAACAAACAAGAACATACCTGAATGAAAATAAAAAGAATCCCTAAGAAATAGAGAAGTGTAGCTGTAATCTGAACCACGGGGACGGCGAACTCGACGAGGCCAAGCTAGACGTGGAATTCCATCAACGGCAATTGGTAATCGATGCCAGCGAGATGAGCAAGGAGATCGTGAACGTTCACAAAGATTATGAGAGCTAAGCCTATAAGTAGAAGAACCAAACCCAATTTCGGCTCGCTGAAGAGTTGAGCCACGAAGCCACAGAGAAGAACAATGGTGGCGAACACGTATAGGTCGGCGTTTATGTACTCAGATCGGTTTCGAGCCAGCTGGGGTCCATATATCCGACTCTCTCGGGCCAATACAAGCTTCACCATTCTGATCAATCAAGACTGGTATGGTATAGGTACGTAGAGAGAGAAAATGAGAAAAGTGACAGAGAGATTGGAGGCAGAATTGCTAAGAGAGACAGAATTGCTAAGAGAGGGGGGTGGTTGAGGAGGAGGGGCACGTGTCATCACGATTAGGGAGTTGTAGAGAGAGGGGGGCGCAAGTTTAGAGTTAAGACGAGAATAGAGATGGAGGCAATTGGGGAGTTGCAAAGAGAGAGATTGAGTCGATTGGGGAGTTGCAGAGAGAGAGGGGGCCAAGTTCAGAATTGAGACCGAGAATAGAGATGGAGACGATTGGGGAGGCTGAAGAGAAACTAGGGCTCGGATGAAATTGGTAAGGTTAGAAATAAAATGAAATAATATTAGAGCGCCAAATTTTTCGGCATTACATTTCGCACTTAGCAGCATTTGTTTAAAAAGCGCTAGTAATTAGTACTCAACACCAGCGCTTTTTTTTAGAAACACTAGTGTTGATAGTACTCAACCCCAGCACTTTTTAATGAAGCGCTGGTAATTAGTACTCAACACTAGCACTTTTTTAGAAGCGCTGGTAATTAGTACTCAACACCAGCGCTTTTTTTAAAAGCGCTGGTGAAACCCTAATATGTTGTAGTGTTCTATATTTCAGTTGAAAGCCTAAGAGAGGTTGTCTTTTAGCAAAGATATTGTAAGGGCTGGTTTGGCCTAAAGGAAGTCTAAGAGAGGGTGTCTCTTAGCAAGAAGAACCAAGGGAGTTGCTTCACTACTGTGATACCCCCAGATTTCCGGATGCGAGTTAGCCAGTCCCACGCCCGATTACACGAGGACATCAAATCAATTAGCAATAAACAAACACAGAATACAATTATGGTAAAAAGGAATAAATAAAAATTGCTTAAAGAAAACTAAAATGATAACCCAAACTTAATCCTCAGAATAAAATTTTATAAATATTATATTATTCTGATACATTCAACTTCTCCATTTCTAATACAACTTGAGAATCCATCTAGTGGACCACTAATCAAACTCCAACATTAAAAACAACAACTGAAGAATTAAAGTAAAGTAAAAGAACATCCAAAGTTCAACCACGGAGAGAAGTCATACATCGTCGGAAGAGTGAGTGATAGTCTCTACTCAGCACGATCAGGTCTAAAACTAGAACTGCCGAACACTTAAAAAATAAAAGTGGGTCAGGTCCACGAACAAGTTCTATCCTACTACAATCCAAGCAGAGACTCGATACGCATGTACATCCTAACCAACTCAACAATAACTATGTAGTCCATACATACATATATATATATATATATACACATCCACACTATAGGACTCCCACTGGACTATGATGAGGGTCTCAACCTGAATAGAAGGCAACATACAAAACGCACCTGAATGGGTAAGACTACTTGAGCCCAACAGGGTATACCTCAACCAACATAACCAGCTACGCATCCTACTGCATATACGCTCCTTAACCGTCGACTCTGAGACTCAGGTTCATATCACGATACCATAAACATATACATAAAGCCCTATCTTATCCATCCATAAGAAATCTAGTTAGTCATTCAGCTTGTGCAGCTTCTTTGACTTCACATAGATATCAAGTAATCCAGTCAGTCATTCAACTTGTGCAGCTTCTTTGACTTAAATATAGGTAGGATTTATTTTATAATCCATTCCCTTATTCCGTAAGGTAGGATTTAGTATTTAGAAACTAATATGTCCCTAGTATGCCACCGTCCCATACCGGTGCATACAATCCATCCATCCAGTAGTTAATAATACAGATAATGAAAGTAACTATCAACTAATCCACACATCCATTAATTGATACTAAAAATAATAAAGTAAGCATCAATAGGCATAGTAAAATTATATACATAAACATGCTTAGTTCATACTACTCCACAAGATCCAGTAAAATGATAAATTTAAATCATAATACCACTACACATCAGTTCATCCCCAAAGCATAATTGAAATACATGATCATAATATGTTGCAATACAAGCTTCAATTATATAAAACTTCACAGAAAAATTGCTATCAAAAAAAGATTAAGCAATTTAAATCTTCCAACTCCAAAACAGTGTAATAATTTGTTTAAACCATATACTGTTCAAGTGATGACCATAATTAGATTATTAACAAGCTTCCTAGAGCCTTAATATGTCTCTAAGAATCATCTATACTTCCCACATACAGGCATAAACCCAACTGGAACCCAGAAATCCAACCATTGTAGCCAAAACTTACTGGAAACGGAAGAAAAATAAAAAAATAAAAAAAATCAACATTGAGCCGGCTCCAAAAACATATGGAGTCGCCTCCAACCTCTTGGAGCCACCTCCAAATAAGTGTGGAGCTATCTAAGATTGAGCCTCCTCCATTGAAAGATTGAGCCTCCTCTATCTAAGATTAAGCCTCCTCCATTAAAAGATTGAGCCTCCTCTATTTAAGATGGAGCCGCCTCCACCCTTGCTATTCTCCATCGTTTCCGTCTCCGGCGAATTCTAATTCCTCTGTCCCCTATTCCTAAGGTTCTTAGATGTCTGAACTAGGTCCCAATGTGTTCCAAAATTAATTGAACTCTTAATTCATCAACCACACATCAGTTAAAATACAACCTATGCAAGAAGAATTTAAACCGGAACAATTACCCATTCATGAACGTACTGTTTCAAGTGATCACCCATGTGAACCAGGTTAAGTTTCATGTTTTCCCAAGGTGGTCCAGCACTAATTAAATCCTTAATTCATTAATTGACATCAAATAAAACATGAAGTAAATCAAGAATTACACAAGAAAGAATTTAAAGCAACAATAACCAACTTGTACACACGTCCAGTTTTAAGTATCTCAGACATGCAATCCAGTTTAATTTTAATCTTTATTTAGTCATGGAGTTGTATTAGTCATGTAAAGAACACGAGCCAAAGGGAAAAAGTTAGGAATAGAACTTGTCTTTAGGTCTTAGACCGTCGTCTTCCTAAATTCTCCGGCGAAAACCACCTACAGTTCCCGACTCCTCTGTTGCCCTTGGTTCCAATTACGAACCCCACTCCTTCCTTCTCTCCTTGGTTTAGCCTTAGTCCTAGCTAAACCCTAACCAAAATACTCTATTTTTGTCTTTGTTTCTCTCCGTCTCTCTGTTTACGTGAATAGGGATTCTTGTTTTGTTTTTAAACCCTAAACAGCCCTCATACGATATATTTATAGGTGTATAGGAAAATCTAATTCTAATTAACTGAGGAGACGCCGCCGCAAAAGAAAAGAAAATAACAATTAAATTAACTATATGTATAAGTCGGCGCTTTAATTAAAAGATAAAACCCTAGAACCACGTTAAACATATAACAAAAATGTCACTAATTTAATCATTAATAACACTTAATAATTAAACCAACCTTTATACACATATAAATCCCAAATGTATACATAGAACCATCCATGGGTATTAATTGTACCCATTTAATTCTCAATCCAAGTAAACCATATGACCCAAAACCATTGGCCCATTACTCCTATCCAAGCCCAACTCCTTGACATAAAAATAAACACTTAATTTCTAAATGAACAATTAAATCAATTCAAAAATAGCACTTCCTTTTAACATAACCAAATTAATTCAAACAGTATCTCAAGTAACCAATTAAACAAATACCATATAGACATAAAAGTTCAATTCAATTTACAATAAATAAATCAAGTTCAACAATTAAACAAACACCTAAAATATAATAATTGAATTCCAATTAAGTCCTTTTTTTTTAATTAGGGGTATTACAACTACAAGGTTTGCTCTCCACCCGTAAGGAGAAGCTACAGTGGATTGGGAAGTCTCAAGAGGGGTCTTGAGCCGAGGAGTAGGAGTTTCCGAACCTCGCTAAAATCGTTGTGTCTATGTTTGCAATTTCTCTTCCCTTATCTCTCTTATTACTATGCCATTAACTTGCTGAATTCATATCTCTAGTATTGCACAATACCTACAATTTACTTGCTGGAAATTGAAGTTGCATAAACTGAAAATCAGTCACATCTTGCTACTACATCTATTTGATGATTTTGTTTGTTCATACTTGTTAAAACTAAAATAGCATATTGTTTATATACTTAGTTTTTTAAATCTGTCATATTTAGACAATGACTCTATTCACCCCCCCTCTAGAGTTCATTCTTGGGCAACACGATGGATGATTGGCGATGGTAAATCTATTCGTATCTGGCAGGACCATTGGGTTCTCTCGCTACCTCACAAACTCCTGCCTCTGTCTGTGGATGTATCGTGTTGTTATGTTGCCGATTTAATTAATCCGTCCACTAAGACATGGAAGGTGGAGGTTTTATCTCAGATGTTTTCTTCTCTTGAAGTTCAAGAAATTTTGCGACTGTATATTTCTCATTGCGATAAACTGGATGTTCAATTTTGGGCTCCTGAGGTGTCCAGTAAGTTTTCTGTGTGTTCGGCTTATTTTCTTGCTAAAACCTTTGTTGATTCATTTACAGGATGAACAGCACAAATATCCTGGAATTCAATATGGCGTTGCCATACATTGTCTAAAGTGCAACATTTTCTGTGACGTTGTTGTCATAATGCTCTGCCTACCAGAGTGTCTCTTTTTTACCGTGGATGTGTGGTGTCCCCTTTATGCCATCGGTGTGGTTTGGCGGAAGAATCCATTGTGCATCTTTTGTTTACCTGTTCGCATTCTATTCAGGTGTGGAAGTTGTCCCCGTTTAGATATGATTTTTCTTGTTATTTATTTCAATTGTTCTTGGATGGTTGGAAGTTTTTGGTGAACCATGTTGTTTCCTCACCTGATAAATCAATTGTTCTTGGTTTGATTTCGTTTTGTGTTTGGTGTATTTGGAAGGCTCGGAATCGAATGGTGTTTGAGGGGGTTTTATGGAGCCCGAGGAAGGTGGTGGAGAAGGCCATCGCAAGTTTTTGGGAATTTAGGGAGGCTAAATCCCAATGCAAAAAATTGGATAATGCAATTTCCCCACCCTCTTCGAATTGTTGGGTGCCTCCTGACCACAGGTTTTTCAAATGTAATATTGATGCCAGTTTTGTTCCAGGCTCTTTTCGTGGTAGTAGTGGCGTTGTGTTTAGGGATTCTCAAGGTTTTATTCTTCATGCTGTGGTTTTTAGACCTTTCTTTGCTTCCTCGGCAATGGTCGAGGAAGCTCATGCATTTCAGCGTGCTATTTTTTGGGCCTCCTCCCTGGGCTATAATTGTTTGTGTTTTGAATTAGATGCCAAGGTTGTTGTTGATGCTATGGTGGGACAATCAGATTGTCCTTCTGAGATTGCAACTCTTTGTTTTGATATCAAGGAGGACCTTAAATCTTTTTCTTCCGTTTCTATTAATCATGTTCATAGATCGGGTAATCGGGTGGCTCATGCCCTTGCGGTTTTTTCTAGTGCATGTATGCCTGAAGATCAGGTGTTGATTCCTCTTCCGTTTTGGATCATGGCTTTAGCTAGGGATGATGTGCTTGGTCTTGTTCCTTAGTTTGGTGGTGTTCTTGTTCTCTTTTGTTTCTTTTCTTTGCCAGGAAAAATAAAAAAATTTAATATTATTCTATTCTAATTACCCTTTGTGAAAGTTATTATTGGTGGAGTCCATAAGTTGTTATAATTGACACTTTAATTTCTTGGGTTAATTTTACTGACACCTCCGTTAAGTTTGGCCAAATATCACCTTAAAATAATTTTCAAAAATTACTATCACTCATGCTACAAATGTTTGTTCTGTTTTTCACTTACACCTTAACTATTATCTTTAAACATCTAATACCATATAAAATGACTTAAATGCCCTTTGACTTTGTCAAAAAAAACTTTAACCTAAAAAAATATACTAAAAGACTAAATTATCCCTAAATGATTTGCAAATTTACAATTATATATATATATATATATATATATATATATATATATATCTAAGTATTATATAGTGTGTGTATATATAAATATATATTTAAGATAATATTGTTACACCACACCGCAGTACCACCACGATGGCTACAATACCATCCCCATCCGATAACCACCACCACCACCTCACCCCCAAAATCTCTTGCAATAACCGTCATCACCATCACACCCAACAACTAACAGCAGCACCACCACCACAATCTCTACTCTCATATCCACCACCAGATCTCCATCGGACGCACACCCATCAACCCACCAATGGCTTCGATCTATTGAGAACAAGTGGTGTGATTTGTTTCTAATGAATTGTTGTGTTTGGAGGTGGAAGAAATTGTAGTTAGGGAAGAGTTGAAAAGGGAAATAGAGTGTCTGGTTTCTTTTTTATTGTTCTTGTTAGATTTTTGGGAGGTCGAAGTTGGTGCGTGTTGATGTTACAAAGAATAGAACATTTTGAATGAAAAATTAGGGTTTGTGAATTCAATTGATAAAGAGAGAAAATTGGGATTTGAACAAATTTGGGTTTGGCTAATAAACTTGATGGTCAGAAGACTCAAAATTGCATAAATTGGACCAAAAGACCCGCTAAGCATCATCACCAATAACTGCTAAACCTGCTATTTAGGGAGTGAGGTAGGAATTTTCATCGATGAATTGAATTGAGTAGCCAGAGAAACACCATATGTATATGTGTATATACATGAATATATATATATATATACGACTCTATTTTCTCTTTCTACTTTCTCACTATTTCTCTATCGCTAGTTACGTGTTTTACCTTCAACAAATAGGGAAACTTCAAGCCTTCCATGTTTTCTCTATTTTTCGTTTTCTTTCCAAATCCTTCTAAGGAAAGGAAAAAGAACCAAAAGAATTATTTATGGAAAAAATAATAATAATAATTAAAATAAAAAAATTATTGGTGATGAAGGGCAACCACAAGTGGAGATGTAGATTAGCTAAAAGGTTGACTCATCTAGCAATGATGGTGTGGTGGGGTAATTTCATCCTTATAGGTTTTAAAATAAAAGACATTAAAAATGAGGGTAAAAATGTCATTCCACAGCCATTTTAATGGTGTTAGTAACGGAAAAGTGATTTGGGGTGTAAGTGATAATACTTTTCGAAAGATATTTCAAGGTGATATTTGGCCAAACCTGATCAGGGAGTGTCAATGAAATTAACCCTACTTTATTTTATCATTTTAATCTAACAAGGATAGTTAAGAAATGTTACAAAATAGGGTTAATTTCACTGACATCCCTTTAGATTTAGCCAAAAATCACTCTCAAATATCTTTCGAAAATAACTATCACTTAGGTCCATTTTTACTTTTCCGTCACAGTTTCTATTAAAAATATGTAAAAAGATAATTTTTACCGTAATTTTTTAATCTCATTTATCACCAAATATCAGATTACTTAAATAACCATTATACCCCTCATTATTACACCCACCAACCACCACAACCCACACACCCGCCACGGAGTGGAGGAGACAAGAACGAAGTGTGGCAGCCACCACCACCATCTCCACCTCTACAACCACCATTGTCATCCCACCTCCACAAGGACCACCATCATCACAATATGATGAATGAATGTATAATCACAGACTTCCTAATAACAAAATACATCACCTTACAAACAAAATCCCCAACATATATATATATATATATATATATACAGAGAGGGATATATCACCTTAAACGCAGACACCCACAATTACCCATCATCATCATCATCTATTCTAATCAAACCCTTCAATTCACAATCTCCATTAAAAAGACGAGTGGGCGTATTCAGCACCAGAGAATCAAAATGGTTGTCTCTTCCCATAAATCATCGGACGGTGGTGGTTTAATGGGAATGAAGACGACAAACCAGATATTGCAGGTGGAGTCAACGGTGATGTTTGAGGTCTTGACGCCTTTCACTGGGAGGAGGTCGCTGGATTCTGGTGATGATCCGATGATTTTCTGAAACAACGAGCATGTCACGCTGTTTAAAGACTTTCAACAACAGTCCTCGCTATCAATGGTCGTAGCCTCTGGAAAAAGATAGATTTGATACTAACTTTTTCTCTTCGTCGCGTCATCACCGTCCACCACCACCATAACCATCTATCCACAACAATTATTTGTCATCAATTGATGTCAATTGTAAAACACAGGAGCACTTACTTCTCTCAATTTCAAAACTAACCTAACCAAATTCACAATCTGGTATCAAATCAAAAACACATTCACACACATCTGGTTTGATTGAACCTATTTTTTTTTTCACTGATTGAACCTAATTTCACAAAACAAAGTCGGCAACTCCGGCGGCCCTGATGACATCTTCCTCAACCAAGCCAACCGTTGAAGTTCATCGTGCACCATACACAGATATCCACTTATGGCAAGATAGATATCATTCTTGATTTGGTTATTTAACTTGTGCTTGAGGCTCTATGTGTGTTAGCATCTCGAAGACGGATAATAAATTTTAGCAAAAATTACTCTGTTTTAATTTTGGTGGTTGGGTTATAGGTGGTGGTGGGAAGGGAGAGGAACGGTGATGGTGGTGGTGGTGGAGAAAGAGATCGAGGTATGGTGGTGGAGAGAGAGAGGAGTATATATGTCTCTGTGTGTGTGTGTGTATATACACGTGTGCATACATATAATTTGTAAATTTACAAAAAAAAAAATAGGGATATTTTAATATTTTAATCCAATTGTTAAGGATAAAGAGTTGTTTTGATTCTTTTGACAAAGACAAATGGTATTTAAGTCATTTTGTATCGTGTCAGAACTGTTCAACTAATAGTTGGGATATGAGTAAAAGCTGAGCAAAAGTTTGTAACTTGAGTGATAGTTATTTTCTAAAGATGTTTGAGAATGATATTTGGTCAAACCTAAGAGGATGTCAGTCAAATTAACCCTACAAAATATATTGCATTGAGTTTTGAAACATGACAACTATTTTGAGAGAGCTAAATATTGAAAAATATACAACTAATATTGGAGGAAAATTAAAAGGCATGAGACAGTTTGTTAAATTGTAGAAACGTCAGTGAGTTAGCTCCCCTGCAATTGGAGGACTATGATCCTCTAAATTAAAACTCATCTACATTATCCTAAGTTGAATCTTAGAAACTTTGACATGTGGCCTTTGTCGTAGATCTATGACTCATAATGTACCACATCAACAAATTAAAAATAAAAACTAAAGTCGTTTAACCAATAACAGAGAAACGTCGTTAACGTATGTTAAAACTTTTTCAACTCTATTATTATTATTATTATTATTATTATTTTTTTTTTTTTTTGGTTTGGGTCTCTTATGCCTGAAACTAATGGGTTCTTCATTGTTACAAATCTTTTCCCTTTGTGTTTATTATATATGTCTGCATATATGCTCTCAAAATTTTGGAGGAATTGAAGTAAATTGGGATTGATATAGAATTGGTGGTGAAGTTTGCAAATTTGTGGTGATCATCGGTGAGTTTAAGCCCCATTTTTCAATTTAGAATGAATAACTTGCACTTAGCCAGAATCAAATGCAGTTATCAGCTTGCTGTAATCAACAAATCATATATTTAAATAAACACAATTATCTCATTGATTTAGATAATAAAGAAATAAAAAAATAAGAAAAAGTGAACGACTTAACTTTATATTCAGTGAGAGGAGATTAGAAAGAGCAGAGTTTAGGTTTAAACATCAAAAATGAATTAAAATAGAGGGAAGACAATGAAAGGTGAAGAGATTAGCGTTTAGTTTTTCTTCCTTAAAACATTGTCGTTTCAAGCCTTTTTATTATTAAATTATGTGGAGCATTGTCAGCCCTAGATTTTGGTGAAATGACACATTTTAAAATCATAACAATTCAACTTAGGATAATGTAAAGAAGATTTAATTTAGAGGATCCTAGTTCGCAATTGAATTAATCACAAGTCTTTTGCTTTTGAAGCTCACTGAGTTGGTTGAGAAAATCCTTCAAATCTATGCTTGAACTGCCTCCTGTGACTGCCTTCAAAGCCTCATCACGAAACTGCAGGACTTGTGCTCTCTTAGGCCCTGTTTCACTCACTGACTCGGCCAACAACCGAGCCAACTCAGTTGAGTCGGGAACAGACTGAGCTCCACCGTGACAAGCTCGAGCCGCCACACCAATCTGGTCAACCAACAATTTAGCGTTTGTGAACTGGTCGGCCCCCATCGGCCACGTCAGCATCATCACCCCAGCCGCCAGTCCCTCCAACACTGAGTTCCACCCACAGTGAGTCACGAACGCTCCCACAGCTCGATGTCTCAGTATCGCCACTTGTGGGGCCCATCCTCTGAAGATAAAACCGCTAGATCCCACACGATCTTCAAATTCATCAAGAATTGCACTAGTATCATCATCAGCCACGTGTCCTTTATCTGTTGCCTTGACAGCCCAAATAAAATGCACCCCACTGTGCTCGATAGCATCCACCAATGCTTTCGTTTGCTTACTTGTCAGCTTGCCCCGACTTCCGAAGCACACGTAGACAACTGACTGGTCAGCCTTTCCATCAAGCCACGTCATCACCTCATGAGGTGGCACATTGACCGGTCCGCCACGTGTAGCAAGGCCCACTGCATCATCATCAGGAGGCAATAAGGGTCCCACAGCCCAGACACGTTGGTTTCCCAGCAGTTCTTTCTTGACATGATCAATGTAAACTCGTTCCAACTGGGTGAACGAATTAAATACAATTCCCCAACTCTCCATGTTGGCCAAAATGTTGCTCCTGAAAAATTCGAAATCTGGATCTCCTTTTGTGTATTGGCGATAATAAGGTTGAATTTGCCACCAGGGGTATTCTGGGGAATTCGGAACATTTGCTAGACGGATCAAGTTGTCGTCGTCATGAGGTTCATCATTTCTCGGTAGGTGGCGCCACAGGAAATCAAGAACCGACGCAGCAAAAGCACCGGATGCCCAGAAAACGACACGTGGCACGCCGAGTTCGCGGGCTAGGTTGGTGGTCCAGCCGAGGAAGAAATCAGATACGATGGCCACAGGGGGGTTAGGGTGGGATCGAAACCACTGAAGGATGGGGTGATAAAGTTCGCCCGCGGCGCGCACTTTAGCGACGAGCCCACTGGAATTGGGGCTGTTTGGGGGATGAGAAAGGAGGAGGGGTTGGAGGGAAGTGGAGGGGTGGGTGGAAAGGAGAGGTTGGAGTAAAGGAAGGTGTTCGGGTGTGACCAAAACGGTGACGGTGAGGCCGCCGCGGGTGAGTAACAGACGGGTGAGGTCGAGGAGGGGTATAATGTGACCCGGCGCAGGATAAGGGTAGACGAGGATGTGTGCGCCGTCGCCGACGGCGACGGTTGACATGGCTCAGAAAGATGGACGTGATATATATTAATGGGCCTCTGCCATTTTACTAGGTTATTGGGTATTGATATATATATATATATATATAAAGCCAAAACCAATGCAACTTTTTTTTGACTTTTTTAAAGTTAGTTTTGAAATCACGTCATGCATTACGACAAGTTGATTCTGATTTTTATTGGGTCCGGTCCGATTACACTACTGTACTACTATAATTTTTTGCTGGTATTACCTTTGAGAGTAAAAAGTAATCAAATTAAGTCACATGGTAAGAACGGTGATAAAAATCCATCCGAAGAATACGAAGCGTGAAATCAAAAACACGCTCAAACATGATAGCGACCCCGAATAAAAAAATATTATGTGACCTTGGAGATGGGGCCATACATACCCACCAACCCATGTCATTTTATTATATGCAAGATTTTTGGAAAAGGTGGTTGATTTATTATTACTTTTGGCGCGTGAAATAATTTTCCTTTTTCGTAAAAAAAGTTTTTATTTGTATTTTTTAAAACTCCACTTTGCTTTCACGACTCAGGAGACTTGAAACCTCAATATTTTCTTATGGAAAATAAAAATTAACATGCTGCAATATACTTCAATGAACATTCACGTGCTTGATATATATAATGAAGGATGGTCTTGTTTCACTCCGACAAAAACCTAATGAATATTCCAGTGGGCATTATTTTTTTTTTAATATTATATACTTATTATTATTTTTATTTTAATATATATACTTATAAAATTTTATTATTACCCTCACTGAAATTACTAAATAAAATCCACTGTTGCCCTCTCCGTCTGCATAATTTTATTGGTTTCGTCCTTGGTTTCACTCCTAAAAAAATAAAAAAAATAAAAAATAAAAAATAAAAAAGAAGAAGAAGAAGAAAAGAAAGTGTGTTAAAAGTAATGTATAAAATACTGAAACTATATACATTTAACCTAAAATAAAACCACTCAAACTTGAGGAATCTAATACTGTTCTTCATATTAGAATTTAGAAAGGATTCAAAATTTTATACTCTTTAAATTTAACTTAATATTAGTTATTATAATTTTACTTCAAACTTTCAAAGCAATTGTGTCACAACGTAGTTAATTACAACCAATAATGTTATACCATTACAAAAATTAATTATTCAAACATAATCTTAGTTTATATTTTTAAAAATGAAGTCATAAGAATATAAATTCTTAACTTTTCTTGAATTTTGTGTTATTCGGGTTTGCCGGTCAGTAAAATATTTATCCCCTAAAATAAATTTAGAGCTCTGAGATTTAAAAACTCAATCTCAATCTCAATCTCATAATCTCAGATACCTTGTTCACACTCTTAAAATTTTTAGATGGGACTCGAATTGCTCGGGTTATTCATACCCAAGCCACCCCTAATTCTTTAAGTGAAATTTAATTTTTTAATTATTTTTTATCAGAATTTTTATAGTGAAGGCAACCTTTAATAATAATATGTTTTTTTTTATTTAAAACGAAGATAATAAATACAAATTTATAAATGTTGATTGATAATATTTTTCATTCAATATATTTATAATAAGGACGAAGCAAGAATTTAATTTATGGGGTATTATGTAATACTTTCCAAATTAGATGTCGATATATAGGCACATAGTTAATGGGCCAGCCTCGGCAAAGGGGTTTTTTTAGAAGAAAAAATGCTCCCTCTATTCCAAAAAAGATGTTATGTTTTCTTTTTTGGTCTGTCCCAAAAGAGTTGTCCACTTTCCTTTTTCAAACAATATATTTTACATCTTTTCATATATGTGCTTGGAGTTTAAAATTTCAAACTTGAATATAAGGACAAATTAGTACTTTTTCAAGGAGACAAAGCATGTCCCACATGTTCCCTTAAAAATTCCTACCCCTAAAAGCGACATATAAATTGGGACAGAGGGAGTATTTGGGTTAAATGCTTTGACACTCCCTAAGGTTTGGGTTTATTGCTTTCTGATTAAATATATGTAAAAATTGCTCAAAAACCTCCTTTCTATTACTTGATAAAATAAAATACCTAAATTACCCTCGTTCCCACTTTCTCTCTCTACCCACCTCTACTCTCACGTGTCCCCGCACCACCCTCTATCCTCCCATGGCTAACCAAGATATTAGGACTCATGACACCCATTAAACCACCGCCATCTGCCACTGCCACAATTGACAACAATCGGCCAAAACGGCAGCAACCGGACCTAAACCTACCTATTACCCAAAAGGTTTAGTCCCTAGCTGCACTTTCCATTTCTCTTCCCACCTTTGCCTCATCATCATCGTCATCGTCATAGATGGGTTTCACGAAACTGGAGCGAATCAGTCGAATCGGCAAAGGCACTGTTTACAAAGTTGTCCATGTCCTACTTCTCGCTTCCCTGTGCTACAATCACCGCTAACACAACTGATTTTTTTCGGTAGAGACTTAGGTACAGACAAGGGCGGAGCTAGAATTGCAAAGTAGGTGGGGAGGAGGGGCTAAACATAAGAAAATTTGAAGATGAACACAATAATTCTTACGACAAAGATATATTATATATATTAAAAAAAAAAAATACGATGAGTATGTAGAGAGAGAGAGAAATGGAAGAGAAGGAGATAGAGTCTGCATATACACACACTGTGCATATATATATATATATATATATATATATATATATATATTTGTTTCTCTATATATGTGTGTTATCTATATATAAAGACACAACAAGCACGTATATTTTTATATTAAGCAGTGAAGTAAGGAATAATTTTATAAGAGTTGGGCAAATTTGTACTTTCATAATCAGAGTTAAAAGGGCAGTGAAAAAAAGTTTAATTTTAAGGGCATTGTGGGGTTTTAATACAAAAAATGGTCAAAATTGATGATTGGGGGGTCATTTTCCTCAAAAGATTGATAGTATAGGGATTTATAAGTACTTAATATTTAATAAGGGTGTTTTTTCCACATTTTTGTATAGCAGGAGTTTTTTTTATTTTTTATTTTTCCCTTGAACGTATAGGACACATAATTATACTTGAAAGTGTTACTATTTCACTAACAAATTCCTAACTTTCTTGCAGTGTCCGAGTTTCCAATGAACTTGGAGCTGGACGGCCAATTATAGAAAAACCCGAGGTCATAAACGACATCAAAGCTAGTTATTTTCTATCAGCAACCATTCTCCTCAACAGTATCCAACCGGTTCTTCATGGTAACTCGATCTCTTGTAATAATTTTTAAATTGTTGATAAATTGAAAGTATATAGAGTAGTGGAAACTAACTAGTGTAGCCATTTTCGTCTCAAATCTAAGCATTTACCGTTGAAGTTATTGTAGGGGTTGCCATAGGTGTAGCTTGGCAGTTTTCAGTTGCACTGATAAACACCGGGTGCTACTACATTTTTGGCCTTCCTTTAGGTGCCTTGCTTGGTTACAAATTCAAGCTTGGCATTCGAGGCATCTGGTATGAAATGATAGCTGGTTGCCTGCTCCAAACAGTTATTTTAGGTTGCGTTTAGTAACGAGAAACGTTTCTTGTTTTCTGTTATCAATCTCTAAAAAGGCAAAATGAAAACAAAAATCGCGTTCAATAAAATGTTTTTATTTTTTTATAACAGAAAATGTTTTCAATTTTTGTAAAGAAAAGAGAAAACATCAAAATGATATTTCTTATATTTTTGGTACTGTAGTAAAGAAACGTTTTCACAAATATTAGTGCACAGGCACTATTCATTTCAAATAAAATTCATATTATTTGTGTTATATACTAAGTTGCATATTAAATTTTAATAAAAATATATATTTTAAATATAGAATAAATTAAATATTGTATATTATTTTTTATTTGATAAAAATATATTTTAATATATTATATATTAAATAGTAATGTAAATGATTTTTTGTGACAAAACAATTTTTGATATAGAATATAATGTTATTAAATTATTAAGTAGTAGATATTTTATATTATTATATATCATATCTATATTATATTATATGTAAATATTAAATTATAATTAATTTACAATATTATAACACAATATATATTTTATTACATATAAGATATATTATTTAATATTTTTTATTCATAATAAATTATCATATGCTAAATATATTATATATCACATAATAAATGTATACATCATGCATATACATGTATTTATATACATAATTGGTTAGAATGTTTTTGTCTTGGTATATTTAATTTTGAACTTATGATGTACAGGTATTTTTAAGATTTATAATTTTAAATTAGATTTTTTAAATTTATGACTTTTTGATATTAATGGAAGTAAGTGTCATACCTAAGTGGTTGGGTTGCTCTCTGTGTCCAAAAGTTCGTGTTCAAGTCATCTACCCTCCCCTCTAATCACTAACTCCTAAAATTCTTGCCATGAAAAAAAAAATAATAATAAAATAGAAATGAAAAAAATAAAATAAAATAAAATTTTTTAAGAATATTATGTACAATTTGTAACAAATATGTTGTAATATTAAACACAATCATTGTTTTATGTTTTCAAATTTATGGCAACAATAAGTGTTAATAAACATTATTTCTGTTTTCTATTTTCAGTCAAGAAAACAAAATCATATTTCTGCTTTGTTAAGACTGCGAAAACAGAAAACGAAAACGTTACTAAAATGCACCCTTATTGTTAATTGTTTTTCAAACTAACTGGCATAAATAGGTTAGTATCTTCAGATTAATTGATAATCATAGTATGCAAATAAACTCAGTTCTAGGATAGTAAACCTAGCATTGAGAATGTTTGGCTCCAAACATTGTTAAGTAAATTATTGGCAAAACTGCAAAAAACCCCCTGAACTATCTAATTTTTTGCAAATACCCCCCTTAACTACCAAAGTGTGCAAATACCCCCCTGGAAGTCACCGAATCAGCTTTTCAGGCGTGTGTAATGCCACGCGCCTATTCAAAGTATTATAATGCCGAAAATGCCCTTTTGTGACCATTATAGCCTTGTGGCCTATATAACCCCATTGTATGTCATTTTGCCAAATTGTGTACTCATTCTCTCTCTGCAA